AGGAAAATATGCTTTATCAGAAATGTATGAATTATCCCTAATGAAGTACTATTAAACATAATTCAGAAATAACACATATCTGAGAGGGGAGAGGAAGCAAATTAAATACATAATTTATGTTAATTTACAATCCTCAGGAGAAAATTAAGATAAAGTAAACCTCTCAATATGTTGGTCTTTTCAGCATATTCTTCAAGAAATTAAGCTCCTAGCAACTATCTTTACTTTAAGAAAATGTTTTCAGCTAATTCAACCTCTCACATATCAATGACTGCTAGAATCATAGAAAGAGAGACAACCAGATTATGTGTATCTTTGGTGGAAGATTTTAATGCTACTTATGAAGTGTTTCTGACAAAATATCAAACCAGAATCACATCCAGATTCTAGATCTAAATAATAAATTACAAGAAATACAGGTGGCAGAGAAAAATATTAAATGTCATTATGCAGAAGCATTCTGCAAAGTCCAGAGTTCAGAAAACTACAGAATTAATAACTCAATTCCTGCAACTAATAAGTTGAAAGGAAAAGGGGTAAAAAAAAAGAAAGAAAAAGAAAAAGAAAAAGGAGAACCTATAGATTAAAAGAGACACATGAGACTAGTATCAATTTCAACCAACTTCAATGTTTTAATCTTATGTTTATCCTTATTAAAATAAATTATTGATCACAGTTAAAAAGAATGAAAAGTTACATGTGTAAAAATTGGAGGAGACTGTTATAGACTGAACTATGACACTCTCCCCTTCAAATTCATATGTTAAATATTTAACTCCCAGTATCTCAGAATGTGAATATTTTTGAAGATAAGGTATTTATTTAAAGAGGTGATTAAGTTAAAGGGAAGCTGTTGGGATGGACCCTAATCTAATCTGACTGGTGTCCTTATAAAAAGAGAAAATTTGGACACACAAAAGTAATACCAGGGGATCGAGTGCACATAGGATGACTATGTGAAGAGGCAGCAGGAGAGCGACCATATGTAAGCTAAGGAGAGAGGCCTCAGGAGAAACCAAAACTTTAAGAAAATAAATTTCTGATGTTTAAGCCACCCAGTCTGTGGTATTTTGTATGGCAGCCCTAGCAAACTACTGTGAAAAAATAAATTTCAGTTGTTTAAGCCACCCAGTTTGTGATATTTTGTTATGACAGCCTTAAAAAAAAAAAAACCCCAACACAGATGCTAAAATGATTAATATATCCACGATACTGTTAAACTTAAGAAATATATATATAGATATAGAAAAAGATACACTATGGATCCTGGAACAATAAACTTAAACTGATGAAATGAAGAGAATTGAGCCTCCTGGTGGGAGGTGGGCCACATATAGTTTGAAAAAGCCACAAAAGTGACCCTGAATTTTCTTCTCTCCACACTTAGAAACACTATTTTGGATCCAACCATACACAAGTTATGTTACCACTTCTTTTAGTCACTCAACTGATTCTATTTACATTTTTATAGAGTTCATATATAGTTTCACCAACTGGAATATAAACATTATCACTAGAGATCTGCGTTATTTATACTAGAACTGACTGTACTCATTCCCTTCTATTTATATCCAAAATTCTATACCAACTTACCATTTACTTTCTCTCTTCTCACTTATAAATTATCCATCCTATTAAAAGGCATGTTTGTGATAATTCCAAGTTTTAGTTGCCCACTACGTTCCTATCCACTTCATCTCTTAAATGTGTTTAAAGCATTAACGGGTTGTGTTTCATCCTAGAGAGAGTAGAGTTTCAAGGAGAGGTAAAATGTTTCATTATATTACTCTATTGGCCAAGACAAATGTGCTATTGTATTACATGTGAAATGATATCTTTGAAGTCTATTAAGGGTGTGCTATGAGGTGAACCATCTGGAAAACACGGTGTAGACCGGAAAATAATTATAAGACAGTTTATTGAGCTTTTTTTTTCCAGTTAAGTTTACCATAACAGCTGTTAAGGACACTATGCAGTGTAAAAGGTAAATGCTCTGAAGCCACATAGGTTAGACCCTACCTCAAATAATGATCAGCTAGTATGCAAGTTATCTAACTTCTCTGATCCTTTGTCTTTTCTGTAAAATTGAGATACCAATGCATGTTGCCTAGGAGTTTTATGAGGATTAAATGAAACAATACTCATAAAGTACTTGGAACAGAGTAGACAATAAGTGTAATTTTTCCTCTCTTTTTTTAAATACAGAGGATATTTAATATTCTTTACATAGAGAACATTAGATAATCCAATAATATTGGAAACCAAGTTGAACAGGTTGGTTTTGTGAAGAAGTCCGTTGAGTTTCCGTGTGATTCCTTTGAATTTCAGAGGGAAAAAAAAGGCTTTGGAAGATCAGGTTTGAAGCTGCCTCAAGAATTCTCAACCTGGAATGGATTAGGACCACCCAGACACGTTTAGAAGGGAAGCGCTGTCCGTGGTGCTAGCAATCGCGCATACCCCTGGCAACATTCTCCATCCCCTCCCGCCCAAAGTTCTTTTCCAGTCAACTTGCATAGCGAAGTTCATATACCTGTCTCCTGGAATAGTCTCAGTCATTCTGCCCATTGGCCTTTCCCCTATCTTGCCACTCTTTATCTATGTCCCCTTCAACAACAACAACAACAAAAAACAATGATCTTACATCTCCTTATCAACACCAAATAGTTTATTATTATTATTATTAATTATTATTATTATTATTACATTTTCAGACACTTTGGCTATGCCTATTATTTAAGTAGGTGGCTCAAAAATTGGCACAGGCTTTTCCTAACCTTTTTATTAAGTTTCAGAGAAATCAAAGACAAGAACACAGAAAAGTTAATTTCCAATGCATTCTTTAAAAACTCTTCAGCTGGCAACTTCCCTAAGAAACTTTCCCTGCACCTCCAATGGAATTAAGTTCCCTTCTTTACTCCCTAAGTGTCCTGTAGACACATCTCTCACTAAAGTTATCACATTAAATTGAAACTCCCTATTTGTCAGTTTTGAGTGCCATTAGAAATAGTTTCTTAAAAGCTAGGACTTACATCTTATTTAACTGTGAATTCCTGGAATATAGAATGTGCTGAACTAAGTTTTATTTTAACTAAATTTAATTGTTGGATCCATTAGAGGGAAGGTCTCAACAACAGTCCTTTAAAAGGAAATCTGCCTTGTTACATTTGGCTGTGCACTAAATTTCAGAGTAGCTAGGCTATTTCCAGTAAAGACATTTCTGGACTAAGCTCATTTGCCACCACATCCACCGATATCAGTCTGGTGACTCAGCCAGTGACTTTGCTGCAAGTGACTAGCAAAGAGCCAATGCCATCTATTTCAAAGACTCTGGCTTTCCACTACCCACCTTTCTTCTTTCTTCTCCTATTCTACCTACAAACCTGTAGTCCCCAGTACATTGCATGAGGACTGGCCCAAAAGACTAGAAAAAAACAGCTCATTGATGCTTTTCACCCAAAAGTAGACTTCTATTCCTCTGACTAGATTAAAGAATAGAGCCACTATCAACAAATAAAAAGACATTTTTTTTCCAGATAAGAGTGGAGGCTCAAATAAGAGTGAAAGGTAGAGGATTAAGAAACTGAAAACTAAAACATGAGAGAAGGGTGAGAGAAAAAATACTTGTTATTAATTCTGCCTCCTTCTCTTCCCCATCCAAGTGGATTTCCACTCTGTTTAGGATCATTCAGTCTATCTTCAGCCCTAATAACCACTTACCTCACTTACCTAACCCCCTTCTTAAAGAGTTCTTCCTCATGCTACAGTGGTTTGAGGGGAAGGGAGTCACTGTCCTCCTCCTTGGCACTCCGTACCAAAAATGATGTTGTAAATAAGAACTATTCAGTGTTAGGAGAGACCCACTTTCATGAAGTTCTCATCAAAGTTTTTAGGCAACAGATACATAACTTGTGGTTCTCTTCCTATTTCAATCAAGGATCAGCTATAATTTTTCAAAATCTTTAAAACAATGCATATGTTAATTCAAACTCACCTAGGAAGATTAGAAAGGGAAAAAAAAGCACTTGGCCTTTAAACCTTCAGAAGAGGATTTAATGACAGGTTCAGCCTGTTTAATGACAGGCCCAGCACCACACCCTTGTTTTATTATGTTTCATGATTACTACATAAATTTCCTTTATTACTCATGACAAATAAAAATCAAATACTTGCTGAGGTGGGTTTAAATAGGTAAGAGTGCAAACAAAAACAAACTGTTCAAATATCACGAAACCGGGATCAGATTCTTAAAATATTTATATTTTTTAAGTGTCTTATGTGTTCCAGGTTGCCGCTCTCAATCTCAAAGTAGTTTTTTTTTTTTTTTTTTAGAATTCTACCCATAATTCAAAGATGAAAAGAATAAAAGCCACATTTAAAACAGGATTCTCAGGATTTTTCAGAGACTGATTTTTGACTGATGCAAATAGGAAGACACACCCAAAAGAAAATTGCTAAGGTTGATGCAAGACATGAAGCTAGTGAAGTTCAAGTACTGCTTGGGGATGAATTTAACCCGCATGACAGGTGCAGAGCTGTCACTTTCAGACACCTTAAGAGAGACAGAGTTATTTTAAATGCCTTCTCTCAGCCATTTAATTCCACAGGGAGAGACTAACGTCTTCGACGTGAAATCAGCGAGCCCGGGACTGAGAGAAAAGAAATCCTCTGCTCCGCCTGCTGGAAGGAGGGGCTGAGTACATTGATTCAATGTAGTTAGCCAAGGCTTTGCTTGACACTGGCGAGCAGCTCAGTGGCCTCCCAGCTCCTGGAGTCTGGCGCATGCTGGCTCTAGTCTAGGCTGGCTTCCCCCGCCCCTATCCTCGTCATCTGTAGCGTCATCTGCGGGCCCGGCCCCCACCCCAACCCCA